ATCTTCCTTTGTTCTGTAGGTTCCCTCAGGATCTGGCCCTAGGACTGATCAGACAGGTTCCCGTGTCTAGCAGCACATTGAAGGCTCTGAATATAACCTGGTTTAGTATTTAGTCAATTTTTATAGTTCTCATGCCGTTTCCCCATATCATATGAATTCGAATATACTGTTTCCATTAGAGACATGCCATTTATGTTATTCCAAGTACCCACATGTTGAAGCTCCCATCCTCATCTCTACAGGTAGAGACTGTTAATCTAGAAAAAATTATTTTCCCTTTTCTCTTGTTCTCTCAATGATCTCTATTTCCAGAAGCTTAAACACCTCTGGAATAACTATCTCCAACGATTTTGAGCAGCATGGAAAATGCCTAGAGCAAAGTATTTATGGAGTTAAACACCCTATTTTGATAAGCAAACCCCCTATTTTGATAAGCGCTGGTAAGCAAGCAATAGCAAAAAGGGAATGTGTTTATTACATTTCTGTTTCTACATTAGGAAGAAGGAAGAGGGCACATTGCACACTGCACACAATTCAACATTTCTCTCTGCCTTTCTCGACCTTGTCAAGCACTAGATTCTGACTTGCATCTTGTTTTCTTGGTTTCACCATCTATATTGTGGTGATAGTGGTGTATCTTTCTAGAGTTAAATGCTGATTTAATATGATTTCCTATGAAGAGTCTTCTGGGACCAGTAGTAGCTTATTCAAAGTCATCTCTTGCTGTGCTTAATCATTGCCACTCTCTGATACTCATATTTGTCTTTTTTCTATTCTGTTTCCTCAGATCAAGAGACCCAATGCCAAAATTAAGGTCACCTGGGAACCTGAGGTCAAAATTACTTCGTGATTTTTAAAATTACATGAGTAATACATTTAATCACAAAAATATAGGAAAATATGAAAAAGTTATAAAATGAATGACCGTACTAGGCATAGATAAGCACTACTAACATTTTAGTATATTATGATCACATTTTATGTGTTTATAAATAACTAGAAAACATTTTATTTCATATGAATTTCTAAATATATTTTAAAAGAGATTGTAAACTTCTGGTGCTGGCCCAGGTGGAATAGGGCTCTTACAAACCTGTCACAAATTATAACTAAAATTCTGGAGAGACAGAAAAAAGAAAGTAGTTGAGAACTCCAAAAGTAAAAAAAGCAAGCAGATTAAGGACTGAAGTTAAAACTTGAGTAACAACCTGTAATAAGGGTGATTATGGTGGGACAAACTATTAATATATGCAACAACATGGTTGGTTATCAAAAGCATTGTACTGAGTGAAAAAAAAAAGCTAGTGTCAAAAAGTCACATACCATATTGGTTTCATTTATACAATGCTTGAAATGACAAGATTGTAGAGATGGAAGACAGATAAGTAGTTTCTGGGTTTTAGGGATGGCGAAAGGGAGGGAGGTAGCTGTGACTCTAAAAAGTAGAATGAGGAAGGAGAATGGAATAGTTCTGTATCTTGGTTTCAGTGGTGATGACAGCTATCTACACATATGATAAAATGTCATTGAACTAAGCAGAAACATTGTATTGATGTCAATTTCCTGGGTTTGGTAGTCTACTAATTTATGTAAGGTGTGGCCTTGGGAGTGGAAGTAGGTAAGGGATACTTTAGACCTCTCTGAATCATCTTTACAGCTTCTCGTGAATCTATTTTTTCAAAATAAAAGCTAAAAATATATATTTGTGTATACACACACCCAAAATATGTGTACAAAATATATACACAAAAATATGTTTGTCTAGGCCAGAGCTGTCTAATAGAACTTTCTCCAATGATGGAAATGGTCTATATATGCACTGTCCAATATAGTTAGGTGGCTATCAAGTACTTGAAATGAAGCTAGTGTAACTGAAGAACTGAATTTTGTATTTCATTTCAACTAATTCGGATTTAAATAGCTACATGTGAGTCTTAGCATAGATTGGGGCATCAAACATTTATGGAATGGTATATAAAAAGCTGGTAACTGTGGTTGGCTTTGGAGAAAGAATTTAGGGTCTGGGGTGCAATGTAGTTTTATATTTCACTTATATCCTTTGAACTGTGTACCATGTACTTAATTTTTCTAATCAGTGAAAAGATGTGGTAATACCCACCGAGAAGGCCCCCATGTATGATGGAGACCAAGGACTCCTTTTGGGACCTGTGTAAACAGCCTAACATGGGTGCCTCTGGCTTCACTCCCACCTCAAAGCAACAGGGCTCAGAGGAGGCGAAGCTCAACTTTGATGTCCTCCCCAGGGCGGCTCCTCTGGGAAGGGGACAACACTAAACTATAGCTCCGACGTGGATTTGGTCCTGTTCCTAAGCTGCTTCTCCAGCTTCCAAGACCAAGCATGTCTCCGTGAGGCCATCATCAGCATCATCGAGGAGAAACTGACTCACTGTAGCAAGAGCTTGGCCTACAACATCACTGTGGCCCAGCACAGAGAGAGAACCAGGGTCCCCCGCTCCCTTTCCTTCGAGGTCCAGGCCAGGAAGAACAGTGACATCATTAGTGTGGACGTGCTCCCGGCGTTCAATGCTATTGGTAAAGACATTGATGGGTTGGGTCCAGAGAAACTAGTCAGGGACCCTTCACCGCCAACCTGACCTTGGAAAGGGGTTTGTGAAAGTGGAAACTGATAGGATGAGAGTAGAGTTTGCTCTTTTTCAGGCAGATGAAACGCATATGTTGTCATGTGCCATTGCGGGGATGTCTCCCAGATAATGGATTCCTACCCAACCCAAGGAAGAGGTTTTTCTGACCCTCTGGGAGACCTCGGGGCAAGCAAACACTTCATAGTCTTTAGAACAATGTCTTCAAATTTTGGCTCCAAGACTTACTAATTGTGTGACTTTGGGCAAGCTATTTAAAACCTCCAAGACTCAATGTACAACCTGTTAAAATGGGATAAAATATCAGGTTGAACCATAGGAAATAAACAATATTTGACCATGTTTGACCCACACACACAAAAAATAGCATTTCCTATGGTTCCACTTAATATTACCTACTTCGTGGAGCTGTTCTCGGGATTCCACGAGCTTAGCCTAGTGCCTGACACATGGTAAGTCTTTGGTCAATGTCAGTTATTTAAAATTTATGTGACTTTTGGGTAGGCTACCAAACCCATGCAACAACATGGTTGGTTATCAAAAGCATTGTACTGAGTGAAAAAAAAAAGCTAGTGTCAAAAAGTCACATACCATATTGGTTTCATTTATACAATGCTTGAAATGACAAGATTGTAGAGATGGAAGACAGATAAGTAGTTTCTCGGTTTTAGGGATGGCGAAAGGGAGGGAGGTAGCTGTGACTCTAAAAAGTAGAATGAGGAAGGAGAATGGAATAGTTCTGTATCTTGGTTTCAGTGGTGATGACAGCTATCTACACATATGATAAAATGTCATTGAACTAAGCAGAAACATTGTATTGATGTCAATTTCCTGGGTTTGGTAGTCTACTAATTTATGTAAGGTGTGGCCTTGGGAGTGGAAGTAGGTAAGGGATACTTTAGACCTCTCTGAATCATCTTTACAGCTTCTCGTGAATCTATTTTTTCAAAATAAAAGCTAAAAATATATATTTGTGTATACACACACCCAAAATATGTGTACAAAATATATACACAAAAATATGTTTGTCTAGGCCAGAGCTGTCTAATAGAACTTTCTCCAATGATGGAAATGGTCTATATATGCACTGTCCAATATAGTTAGGTGGCTATCAAGTACTTGAAATGAAGCTAGTGTAACTGAAGAACTGAATTTTGTATTTCATTTCAACTAATTCGGATTTAAATAGCTACATGTGAGTCTTAGCATAGATTGGGGCATCAAACATTTATGGAATGGTATATAAAAAGCTGGTAACTGTGGTTGGCTTTGGAGAAAGAATTTAGGGTCTGGGGTGCAATGTAGTTTTATATTTCACTTATATCCTTTGAACTATGTACCATGTACTTAATTTTTCTAATCAATGAAAAGATGTGGTAATACCCACTGAGAAGGCCCCCATGTATGATGGAGACCAAGGACTCCTTTTGGGACCTGTGTAAACAGCCTAACATGGGTACCTCTGGCTTCACCCCCACCTCAAAGCAACAGGGCTCAGAGGAGGCGAAGCTCAACTTTGATGTCCTCCCCAGGGCGGCTCCTCTGGGAAGGGGACAACACTAAACTATAGCTCCGACGTGGATTTGGTCCTGTTCCTAAGCTGCTTCTCCAGCTTCCAAGACCAAGCATGTCTCCGTGAGGCCATCATCAGCATCATCGAGGAGAAACTGACTCACTGTAGCAAGAGCTTGGCCTACAACATCACTGTGGCCCAGCACAGAGAGAGAACCAGGGTCCCCCGCTCCCTTTCCTTCGAGGTCCAGGCCAGGAAGAACAGTGACATCATTAGTGTGGACGTGCTCCCGGCGTTCAATGCTATTGGTAAAGACATTGATGGGTTGGGTCCAGAGAAACTAGTCAGGGACCCTTCACCGCCAACCTGACCTTGGAAAGGGGTTTGTGAAAGTGGAAACTGATAGGATGAGAGTAGAGTTTGCTCTTTTTCAGGCAGATGAAACGCATATGTTGTCATGTGCCATTGCGGGGATGTCTCCCAGATAATGGATTCCTACCCAACCCAAGGAAGAGGTTTTTCTCTGACCCTCTGGGAGACCTCGGGGCAAGCAAACACTTCATAGTCTTTAGTACAATGTCTTCAAATTTTGGCTCCAAGACTTACTAATTGTGTGACTTTGGGCAAGCTATTTAAAACCTCCAAGACTCAATGTATCAACCTGTTAAATGGGATAAAATATCAGGTTGAACCATAGGAAATAAACAATATTTGACCATGTTTGACCCACACACACAAAAAATAGCATTTCCTATGGTTCCACTTAATATTACCTACTTCGTGGAGCTGTTCTCGGGATTCCACGAGCTTAGCCTAGTGCCTGACACATGGTAAGTCTTTGGTCAATGTCAGTTATTTAAAATTTATGTGACTTTTGGGTAGGCTACCAAACCCTCTAGGACTCCACTTATTAGTTGTAAAATGAGAAAAATAATGCTCTAGTGAAGATTGCATGAGATAATGTCTGCATGTTCTATATGCTATAGTTCTCTCCATCTTCCTCACCTCGAAGAATAGATTTTCCTGACCAGGTACTTTTCTCTCCCAGGAAATTTTCCCCCAAACTCTAAACTACCACCAGAAATCTATGAAACCTTAATAACGAGTGGCGGTTGCCCTGGGGAGTTCACACCAAGCTTCACAGAGTTGCAGAGGCACTTTGTGAAAAGTCGCCCTACTAAGCTAAAGAACCTCCTGCGGCTGGTGAAGCACTGGTACCTGCAGGTGAGGAGCTGGGTCTCTGGCTGGGAGGCTCAGGGGCAAGAGGGAGGGCAGGTGCATCCTAGCATTTTTTTTTTTTTTTTTAAGGAAAAACAGAAGCAACCTAACTATCTCAGAATAGGGGGCAGGTTAAACAGCATTGGTGAAATAGTATAATTGGAAACTATTTGCAAAGTATAGAGCACTAGACAAAGTTTTGCATTATTGTTGTATCTGTTTGCTCGTTGCCATATTCTTCTGAAGTGTTGTGTCCTGGTGATTGCCTCCTGGTTCCAGTGACATGTTCTTCCAGAGCGATTAAATGATTTCTAATGTGCATAAACATGATTTTCAGCAGGCTTCACACCTCAGGCATTTTGGATAACCATAACAAAAACAACAATAATAAAGCTATCATTTATTGAGCATTAATTATGTTCTGTGATCTATGCTAAGTGCTCTGAAAATTTTTTCTCGTTTAATCTGTCCAACGGCTCTTCCATGTATTATTCATTAGCCCCATTTTGGAGATAAGAAAAATGAAGTTCAAACGCTGAAGTGGGGCTGAGTTTGAACCCAAAAGTGTCTGACTCTAGAACTTGTGCTCTTAATCAACAACTCTAAACATTTTTCATAATATTAATTATTTTTCTATTTGAAAAATACATTGGGCTCATTATAAAAAATTCAAGTAATGCAAAAAATAAAGCACAAAAAAGAACATAAAATTCACATGAAATCCCTGAGATAATACCAATAATGTTTTTTTTATGGCGACATTGGTTAATGAAATCCAGTAAGTTTCTGGTGTACAATTCAATGATATGATACTTTTTTTTAAAATTAAGTTTATTGGGGTAACATTGGTTAATACAATTATATAATTTTATGTAATTGTAACATATATACATTTTTTGGTGACTATTTTTTCATACCTTTCTTTTTATCTGTATTCATGACAGTCATGCACAGATCTTACGTAAGTGGAATCATATTATGCAAACTCTTTTCATATTCTACTTTTAAAAAATATATTTGCTTACTGATTTTTAGACTTGAACTTTTGAGAATTATCTATCAATGTATTTTGCATATTTTTCAATGGGATTTTTTGTCTTTTTCTTATCAGTTGTAAGACCTTTGTAAATCGTAGATTTTTACCATTATTTCTCATGTGTTGCAAATATTTTTACTCAAATATATCACTCATCTAATCACTTTAATTATAGTATCTTTGACAACATAATTATTTCTAATTTTTAAAATACACAAATATGTCTGACTTTTATATAAGTTTCTCATCTTACGCACAGTACATATGTAATCTCTTAATTTTTCTTCTCATGTAGTTAATATATACTTTAACTCTAGCTGTAATGTATTTTGATATTTGATGTGACAGTCTTTATTTTCTTACAAATGGTTCACAAGTTGTGCCAGTATCATTTACTGAATTATGCATCTTTTTTTATTAAATTGAACTTGTGTGCCCTTTGAAATAGTTTGTCGATTATTGATAGTCTTATCATTATTAAATTCTTATATCTACTGGAAATGAATTTTGGTTTATCTATTCTATTACCCTTGACCGTTGTTTATTCTAATGCCAAAAGCATACCATTTTTTAAAAAACTACTTTATATGATATAGCTGAGAAGAAAAACATCAACATTTCTATTTTTATCTTTCATAATTTTCTTGGATTTCCAAGGCATTTATTCTTCCATCTGAATCTTAAGATCATTTTATCTAATTAAAAACATCACTGGGAATCTAAAATTGCAATAAATTTCTAAATTAATTTTTGAAGATTTGAAAATTTCACATTATTCTTTCTCCTTCATCTTTCAGTTCATTCTGGTTTTACGTTTTCAGTGTGTCTGTGTGTTTTAGTTTTCTTCTGTTATATCCTGTATTCACTCTATTATGTTGCCTTCCCCATTCCAACTGAATATCAGGTTGATGAGGCCAAGAAGACCCCCAAGAGTCCCCAACTTCCTCTTTTATTGAAATTTTGATGCCCCCAGGACATAGTTCATCTAGACCCCAAGCTGCTGGGCTCACGGCAAATTTTATGGATGTGCTACATAATCTAGATATAAAATGAAATTGAGGAAGTATTACTGGGACCTAGAAACAGAGTGACCTGGAAAGTCCCAAGTCCCAAGGTAACGATCTCTCATTCCCTCCCTCCCCACTCTCCCTCTCCAGTACTTGAAACATAAATATCGAAAGGTAGCATTGCCCCCAAAATATGCACTAGAGCTACTGACCATCTATGCCTGGGAAATCGGTACAGATGAAAGTGAGAACTTCTACCTGAATGAAGGGTTTATAGCTGTGATGAAACTCCTCAGAGATTATGAAGACATCTGCATATATTGGACCAAGTACTATGATTTCCAAAATGAGGTTGTCAGAACCTTTATCAAACAACAGTTGAAGGAACCCAGGTGAGTGTGTTGGTTGCATTACTTTCAGATTTAAATAGCTACACATGTGAGTCTTAGCATAGATTGGGGCATCAAACATTTATGGAATGGTATATAAAAAGCTGGTAACTGTGGTTGGCTTTGGAGAAAGAATTTAGGGTCTGGGGTGCAATGTAGTTTTATATTTCACTTATATCCTTTGAACTGTGTACCATGTACTTAATTTTTCTAATCAGTGAAAAGATGTGGTAATACCCACCGAGAAGGCCCCCATGTATGATGGAGACCAAGGACTCCTTTTGGGACCTGTGTAAACAGCCTAACATGGGTGCCTCTGGCTTCACCCCCACCTCAAAGCAACAGGGCTCAGAGGGGATGAAAACCCAACTTAAACAGTTTTTAAAATAAAGGTGATGTCTTGGCTTTTGTACCTGAGAAATCCAAAGATAAATGAAGCTGGTGTGATCCAGACGTTTGCTATGTCATCAGGGTCCCATGTATGAACTGCTCTGCCCTTCCCAGGGTTCGACCTTTGAATTCAGACTAATTCCTTCATGGCTGCCCCAGTTCCGGCCTTCTCATCTGGGTTCATACCTTCTGATACAAGAAAGAATGCTCCTTTGCCCTGGCATTCCAAGCAGAATCCCTGAGATTCATTCTGATTGGGCCACCTTAGATTATACCTACCATCTTGAACCAAGAGCTTCAGCTTGCAGGGAAATCTCCCCAGAGGCATGCACAATCTCACAGACTTGAGTGACAGAGGACAGAGTCCTGAGCATGATGGGAAATCACTCCTCTTCTCTCTCCCAGGCCTGTTATCCTGGACCCAGCTGATCCCACCAACAACCTGGGAAGGGAAAAAAGATGGGACCTGGTGGCCAAAGAGGCTGTTCATTGCCTGAGGCAGGCCTGCTGCAGGACTGAAGATCCCCACCAAGGCTGGCACGTACAGGTACCACCCTCATCCTCACCCCAGTGTCATGACTCAGTGATGACCTCACTGCAACCCCCTATGAATCTCCCCAGCTCCTGCCACAGCACCTATAAGTCCCCAGGACAGGCAATATCTCTCATGGTGCTGCATCTGGGCTTCAGTTCTTTCACCTATAAAATGTGCAGGCAATTTCTGCCCTGCTGTATGACCATTTGAGGGAGACAGTCAAAGCATTTACTCCATACATACATCCTGTGGGGTAATAGTTCCCTTAGTATGGGTTTTCAAAACCTCAACTTCTTACTATTAGAACAAGAGATTTAATAGATATATCCAAAACCCTAACTGAAGAACATAGGAGTCCACTGCAGACAGCAAGCCAGCTGTGTGGCCCCCCTGTGCATGGCTTGGGATCACAGCAGTCCTGGGTCTGAACACCACACGGGAATTCAGGGCTCAAAGACCAGACAGAGCTTTCCTATGAGCTCAACTGAGAGATCTAATTTCATCAACCTGATAGTTCCAGAGAAATCTTATTGCCAGTCCTACATTTCATATTCTGTAGGTAAATTCTGAGCCCGGCCTCAAAGGCAAACCTGCGCAACTGAAGCAAGGCAGGTAACTAATGCATCAGAGGGACCCGCCACCCAGCCATGTCCCATTGGCTGGAATGTCCAACAGACCAGGGGACTCCTGGAAGAAAAGATTCATGGAATAGTCTTCCAAATCTTGCTAAGAACCCTCCCTATAATTATTATTTTTTGTGTGGGGGTGGGAGGAGAAA